ACGGATTGCGTCAACTTTATTAACAATCAATATCTTCAAGCTTGATGTGCAGTAACACGAGATAAAGCAACATATAACTGATCATGGGAGAATACTGGATTAGGAAAGTATACGCCAACTTTTTTTAAAGTCTAACCTTGACTTTTGTTTATGGTCATTGCAAATTGTTAATTTTATGGGAAATTATCTTCTTTTTAATCGGGGATAGGTGAATGTGTGGTAGATGGTGATAAAATGATACGTGGAATGAAGACTCCTCTCCAATATTCGAACCCGTAATCACTTGTGCTCAATCACTTTATCTCCCATTTTCTCAACAATAAGACGGTGCCGATTACGTAGACCTTGAGATTGATTGAGATTTCTCAATAGCATATAGGCGCTCCCTTTTTGAGTTCAAGGCAATGACTTGGAATTCCTGAAAAATTTAATGAGTGCAATAACTCTGGTGGATTGCATGCCTTCGTCAATGTTCTCACCCTCAGCTGGACATATCGTATCTACACTTAGGTATTTTCGAGATTCTCCAGGCAACATTGACAGCATTATGACATTTAATTCACCAATATCAGCATTTTTTGGTGCTAAGATGCCACAGTCTTTCAAGTAAGAACTGTCACTGTATCTAGTACTTAATTTTGGATGGATTGCTTGGATCAAATCATGTAAAGCATGTGATCCATTTCTAATCAAGAAACTGTTATGGAATTTCAATCCAATTAGTCTCCCCGCCTTCAAGGAAAGAAATTCTAGGTATTTTTCCATCACCAATAATCAATATCCAATTAGCAAAATCCCTTAGTTGTTGACGCATTTGAATAGAAGTATCATTGGTCATAATACGCATATTGGTCCTCAAATATAAACACACAACAATGATTCCAATAGTCGATTCTTTCAATGACACTACAATTGTGGCTTCCCGCCTACCTTTTGGTACTACAGGTAAACTTTGTCTGAAGTCCCACCAAGTATGAATAGTTTTCCACCAAATACACAATCACTTGAACAAATTCTGTTTACTCTTTTATATATCTCTGAAAGTACGATCAACTACCTCAAAATCCATAATGATAGTGCATTGGAGCTTCATCCCATATGATCAATGATGCCTCTTGAATTAATTTTCCAATTTAGTCTCGTTGATTAATACTACAACTTGAGAATTCATCCAAATTAATTGAAATTTTTAAAGCGTGAATGCACAGTTCTACCTCCTAGTAACAGCAAAGCCGCAATTGTAGATGATCCAACTGAAAAGACAATTTTTTTTGTGATCTAAATTTTGCTATAATGTTTTCTACAGATATGTTTTTCCTGTTCCCTACTTCCGTAAAGGGAAAATAACACCCTTTGTTACAATTGTATGCATTCATTATGGTGTCATAAACTTCCACCTGATCACTATTTAAACCATAATGTAATTCATTGAACAATTGTTTTTCTGAAGCACTATCGTAACTCCATCTTTTCTATGATGAGCCTATTTGTTACAAATTGAGCACCTTGCGAAGATGGCAATGGCATTGAGGGAAATCTTTGAGAGATTCCATTTCTATTTAATATATGCTCAATTTTGAGAAGTCTTAACTTTTTTAAGTCTTCATTGTCAAGATGTAGATCATTATCTCTCATATCTCTTCTAATTCTATATTGTATATCATCGGTGAAACTTTTCCAATGACATTCCCATAATTTGACTGGATTGGTTATAATCAGAAAACATGAGCATGTACATAACATATGTCGAAGTTTTTGTTGTTGATGCCCAATTTGATGCTTCTGCCAATGCCTCGTGCATTTATTATCATCATTGAGTAGACCAAGTGCAACACAATGTAGATTTTAAATGTTGTATGCACGACCTCATTTACAATTCGGATATGCTCAACAACTGTCTGCACACGAACCTTATTCAATAAAATTCTCAATTAATATCTCTCACCCGATGTTGGATGTGCATACGGAATCTACCAATAAGTTTTTATTTTTTTCGGACATCCCATTCTTTTTTATCTCTTTTCCATACCCATTTTGTTGAAAATTCAACATAAGTCAACTCTTTTGCAGATTGATGGGTTCTGTTTGCTTTAAAACCATTTGGTCAACATTGTGTTATGAACACGTTTTTAGGTTAATAACTTCGTGTAGATGATCATTGTCATAAATATTAACAAATTGTTGACCTGAAAGATGATATTGTAAACACTTAACAGAAAGGAGTTTGTTTATGAATTTCAAACTCAAATACCTCCAACCACACTTCAATCGCAGACACGTATCGAGATCCAAATACTATTTGATCTCATTAACTTGTTTGTAATGTCGTTTCCCATTATTGTTTGGTGGATAACATTATCCTTGTCACATGATCAGGCCTTTGTTACATATTTGTACAAAATTTCATTAACTTCGGGTGCACACAATCGTTCAATATTAATGTTGCAATCATATTTGCACTAAAAGATGATGATTATATGGAATGACCCATCTGTTATCAACTATAAATCCATTTATGTTATTGTGTTGCCCTCATTACATCTGCGCCTGTATGTACAAATCTATTATCATCAATTGTTGTTTCATTACAAAATTACTTTGGATAATGTTTTGTACACTTTCCATCTACCATACATGGAGCATTGGGATTAGCAACACATAAGGTCCATGTATCATGCATCTGCACAACAATCTCATATGCCAATGGGTTTGCATTTTTGTCAGGCAATTCAGACATATAAACTCATATCAATTTGTTCAGGTGTGATTAGTTTATTCTCCGATGCTAATGTGATTGTATGTGAGAATGTGACAATTCCCGTTTTTGAAACTCGATGACGTAAATAACTATTCATAAAAATAATTATTGATACATTAGGACATTTAAGAGTATTTGTTGTATCATAAATGCATAGGTGTTAGAATAATAATACCTGAAAGTACTTCTCCAAATATTTTATTTTCCTTCAAGTTGGTTAGTAGTTGTGTAAACTTAATTTGAAAAACTCTAGCAACAGTATCAGGTCTATCTTCTGCACATTGATTCGATAGTCTTGGAAGATCAACTTTTATTTCTGGCCATATAGGATTGCATGTTGAACGTGATAAACAAATCAGGAGCTCCAATAGTTTTGCAAATTGCCATAGTATCTTCATAACGTTGATCATATTACGTGGCCCCCCAGAGAATGATAAAAGCAACACAAATCTTCTCCTACTGCTGACGCATCTACATCTTCAGCAACTACAACATCTTCTATTCCTTGATATAGATCTGCACGCAACTCAGCTTGATGGGTCTGATGTAATTCAATCTAGTTTGCTCAATAGCAGCAAACAGTTAACGACAAATTGTTGAAACAAACGTCCTCCTCTTAAAAGTGTTTACCTTCAAATTCTCTATGTTGGAGTCTAAATGCATAAAATTCTCTAATTGACACATTGTTTTGAGATCTACTTAAGAATGTATTAAAGAGATGCCACAACCTCCATCCATCTGTACCATATGGAAACAGTAATGGGTACTGTTAATGGTACATATGATGGATGTATTTTATTGATTCTTCTTAATAACCATCATTTTTTTAACAATGATGTCACGATGTGTTTCAGTTCCAATACCATCACATGATTATCGTCGCAACTTCGTTTGCAGTTGGCCTGATATATTGTTGTTCACCTCTAGAGGTTTAAAATACACACATGTAGATTCAATACATTATGATCTCGTAACAAATCTCCAGTACTTTGAAATATTTTCACATAAGGATTAACTGCATTAACAATTTCTTGTAAACCTTCCAATATTGAAAAATTAATGCCTGATTGTAGACGTCCCGAACGCCCCCGGAAGGAACGAGCTCCCGTCCTGTTCATTTTGGGGTCACTACAGCTCAGGACTCTCAAAATTTGTCACGGTCTAAGTCTGAACCAAAAGAGTCCAAATCCGGCAAATCGTTTTGAGAAAACAGATATTTGAAAAGAAGGTGCCAAACATGGACTGCTTTGCCAAGATACAGAGTCGCCACCTAAAATGTTTTTTAATGGGAAATTTAGGAAACCCTGACTCGGTGCCAAAGGCCACGTGTCCGTCATCACCAAAGTTCCTCGGCTCGGGAACTTGGGTACGATTGGGGAAGGTTCACTTCGTGAGCACCCCCGCTCGCTCCGATCAAAGATCGGCCTCTACTAACCATGATATCTATTTTTGAAACTTTGTGTGTTCCTTATTCCGGTATAATAGCCTAGGTTTGCTATGTGATGCAACACAGCATATAAGTATAGACTGGGTCGCCGAATTAGAACAAAACATTTCATGCTTGTTTATTTGAGATTGGTTGCTACTCGCAAGTAGGCTTAAAATGCAGATTTTGCCACCCTCAGGTGGGCTTAGAAAAGATGATTTTGCCACTATCTAGTGGGCTTAAAAACAAACATTTGTATGAATTGTCCCAATCTAAAAACCCAACCTTCACCCCACAGGCATTCAGGCAGTTATATCACATAAGCATTTAGCCTCATGGTAAGCATGCTATTCATGGCAGTCATCACACGCATGCAAGGATGCTAAAGCATAAAACTCACCGAGTACTCCAAGCAAAACATAAACTACATTAGAAATCATGCATGACCCTAAATATGCAGAAATGCCTAATGCAACACATGCAAAAATGCAACTATAGCAGGCTCGGCTATTCATAACATGGCATGTGGAATGCTACAACTAACATGTATTCACTTTGGAATTGAAAATACAATGCAGTTAGTATGATGCGCCGAGGCCCGGTGCATGCAAAACATGATGATGAGGCAAACATGCTGTCATACTGTATGCTAATTGAAATATGCCCTAATCTGACCATTATAAGCTGGTAAATGAAAGGGAGAAAGACGTGGGGTTGGAAGACATACAACACACACACGCACACTTATTACAATTATGCCCTCGCACAGAGGGTCCGAAATAAATAATACAGTCCCGAATAAAAGAATATTACAGTCCAAATATTACAGTCCGAATTAATGTACAAAATTCCTAATTAATTAATCAAATTAACTAAGAAAAGCTGTAAAAATGGCATGCAAGCCAGGGACTGCTTGCTTCTGATGAATGATGGCATGTCTGGGCTGCCTTGTGCGGAAATCCACTGGGATGCCCCAACTAGCCTCTGTTTACACCTTTTCTTGAAATGCGCGCCAAAACTCCAAAAGGTTGTTGATTCTTCATTTTGCTGCAACAGAGAGCAGGAAAGGGACATAAGCAATGTATTTCACAAATATATACATGCCTCGATCCTCGTGCCACCAATCACGCATATCGATGCATGATGGCCGAGGAGCCGAATTGCGCAATTCAATGTAGAATGAATGTACAT